AAGAACCGGGGGGGGGGGGGACTAGCTTGATTTCTCTGAAGGCCTCTTGGTTTGCTGAAGCATAATAAAAGCACTTTCACAGAGGGATGCAGTTATGTGTTGCAGTTTGTCTTTGTCAAACCAAACAGTTGTCTCTTTTGTGCAAAAAAGGCACTTTGAAGAAGCAAAAAACATCTTCGTATGCAGTGACATCAGTTGCAAAGACTTGCAAACTTGTACGGCAAATGACGTCTTAAGAGGTCAAATACTCAAAAAAATCTTCTTTGGAATCTTAAAAGTGCTCTATTTGTAAATGCTTTTATGACATTAAATTACAAAATGAGCAAAAGATCAAATATTATGAGTCAGAAGAGCTACAAGAAAATGCTCAGCCTTTAAACAGAAAAAAATTGCTTATAAAGAATTTATTTATTGATATGAGTGTAAAGTTTCATAATTCTTTGCTGTAAATTAACTGTATGACAGCTAGTAGTCATAGAAGTGTGTGGGGGAGGAATCAACATGCATATTACAAATCTATTACACCCATATTACCCAGTTATATATTAATATGCCAAACATTGCGGCATGAACTTTGTTCCATTGTTGCATTCTAACTGACATTTTCTGTACTAGCGGCTGTTTAAAAAAATAGGAGCACAAGTACAAGTACAAGAGGAATCTACTCATGAAAACAAATTGACAAGTTAAGTTACTCACTGTTTTAATGAGGTTTCAAATGCTAGTTTTTCTTTGCTAATGTTAGTTTTGACTGGGTAAAAAATTTCAACACTGCGCCCAAGAAGCATCCACAATGTGGATCCTTAAACTTCGTAGTCCTTAAACTTGATTTTCCTTCAGTCCTTCATTCTACAATTACAACATATGAAAATATTTACATATTAAATTGGTATTAGGAACTGGGGATCAGTTATTCATTAAGCTCCTGTGTGAAATATGTGGTTTCTTCTCCTTCAAAAATGACTGTGCATGTCCCACATCCCATTGCGGTGAGGTCGGCTACTGTCTTCATCTTCTTCGATGATGCTTTGACAATAAAATATTGAGAATCTCGAACTGTCACAAATCTTCACAGACAGAGAAACGAGATTATGAGAGACTCGTGTGATGTTGATATGTACAAAAATATCCAACTTATTCACGACCTTCAGCTTTCTGGATGAAAACATCCTAAATACTAGATATGCTATGGATTCCTTATTTCCCCTTGGCCTGTAATTCCTTTCAGTTCAGATCAATTCTGATTCATCCACAAGTCCACATCAAAGTATCCATGTTTGCTTGGCACAAAATAGACCAATGGTTGTGAGCTCCTCAGAGTTCCATAGCAAAAGCCTGTCATTTATGGACGGTTGACAGATATTACAGCTTCAACCGACACAATACAGACTCAAAAGATGAAACAGGACTCAGATGTTGACGTAGATTATTTTGTCGCTCTAGTTCTGAGGAGTTTGGCCTTCTGTCTGTTCCTCTGAGCGCTCATGTGGCCGGTGTTTCAGCCTGCAGGCTGGACATGCGGATCTGTGAGCTGCTCTTGCTGAGGATGGAGAGCTGTGTGCCCCCATTCACACCACTGCTGGCCAGGGACGGATGCCTGCGCTTTATATCCCCCGCAAAGTACCGGTTCACCGTCCAGCTGCGCCATTTTCGTTTGATTTCTGACTGCACCTTTCGGGAGAAACTTCAGTGGGTTATTAAGCTGATTGGATCCTACAGGAGGAGATCTGCAGATCTCTTTCCATGCTGCTCATGGACTAGCCTGAATTTTAAATCCAGTTGGTTAATAATTTACATGTATATCCGGTATAATGAGCACTGCAATGAGAAAGGGCCACCAGAGACATTGCTTTATGCAAATAGAATCCTATTTGAATGTTTTACTAGTTGGAATTTATAATAATAAAATCTGATTTTCTAAAATACTAAAAAAAACGATACTTTTATAATAAAATAAATTTATATTAAAATTAAAATATACATTTGTGTTTGTTTTTCACAGATGCTTTTATCTAAATCGCCTATCACAGCTATGCAGATGATACCCAGATTTACCTAGCCTTATCTCCAAATGACTACAGCCCCATTGACTCCCTCTGCCAATGCATTGATGAAATTAACAGTTGGATGTGCGAGAACTTTCTTCAGTTAAACAAAGAAAAAACCGAAGTCATTGCATTTGGAAACAAGGATGAAGTTCTCAAGGTGAATGCATACCTTGACTCTAGGGGTCTAACAACTAAAAATCAAGTCAGGAATCTTGGTGTGATTCTGGAGACAGACCTTAGTTTCAGTAGTCATGTCAAAGCTGTAACTAAATCCGCATACTATCATCTCAAAAACATTGCAAGAATTAGAGGTTTTGTTTCCAGTCAAGACTTGGAGAAACTTGTTCATGCCTTTATCCCCAGCAGGGTGGACTATTGTAATGGTCTCCTCACCGGCCTTCCCAAGAAGACCATTAGACAGCTGCAGCTCATCCAGAACGCTGCTGCCAGAATTCTGACTAGAACCAGAAAATCTGAGCATATCACAGCAGTCCTCAGGTCCTTACACTGGCTTCCAGTTATATTTAGGATTGATTTTAAAGTACTTTTACTCGTTTATAAATCACTCAATGGCCTTGGACCTAAATACATAGCAGATATGTTCACTGAATATAAACCTAACAGACCACTCAGATCATTAGGATCGAGTCAGTTAGAAATGCCAAGGGTTCACACAAAACAAGGGGAGTCTGCTTTTAGTTATTATGCCACCCGCAGTTGGAATCAGCTTCTAGAAGAGATCAGATGTGCTAAAACATTAGTCACATTTAAATGCAGACTCAAAACTCATCTGTTTAGCTGTGTATTTATTGAATGAGCACTGTGCTACGTCCGAACTGATTGCACTGTATTTTATGTATAATCGTTTTCTATTTTTTATTTTTAAATTCATTTTAAATCTATTTCTAAATCATTATTAAAGTTTTCAAGTTCCCCGTTTTATTGTTGTGATTTTTTTATTATTTTACTTCCTTTTATGTAAAGCACTTTGAATTACCATTGTGTATGAAATGTGCTATATAAATAAACTTGCCTTGCCTTGCTATGCTCACGTCATGTTTAGTTACTCTTTTTGTATTCAGTCCCTCAGTTTCAGTCAGTCCTAGATTGCCTTTACTTTTCTTCAATGCTCATTGATTATAGTCTTTGCCTTAAGATTTTAAATACAAGGCTCTAGATCCTCTGCTCCTCCTTCCTTCACCTGGCCAGTGTAACACATTAGGGTTGTCACATTATTTTGGTAATTGAGTAATTGGTCGACTATTTTGACAATTAATCTAATAATTTGGTGGTAAGAAAAGGGGAACGAGATACTGCGT